TTTTTTTTTTTTTCCCTTGTTTGGTTGGGATAATTAGATAGGAGGGGAGGGAAAATTTTAACTTAAAATCTCCTCCCCTTTCTATTTTTTCTCCCCTCAAAAAATGGGGGCATTTGGAGGAGAGGGAAAATTTTAGTACATAAAGTTACAATTTTACCCTTAGTGAATATAATATTTTATTTTTTTATTTCTAACATCATTAAGGATAAATTTGTCATTATAACATTATTTTTCCTCCATTTTCATTTTCTATCCAAACAAAGTTTACCATTTTTCCTTCATTCCCCTCCTACAAAATGCCTCCAAACAAAGTAAAATTATTTCACATCATCTCCCTCCCCTCCCTTTCCTTCCATTAAAATCCCTCCCCTCCCCTCAGTTGAACGAAGCATAGCCTTAGGAGGAAGTACATAAGTATGTGATAAGTAGAGAGAAAAAACGAAAGCCCTAGAAATTAATTTTCATCGTTGAGCGATGCAGATCGATTCCCCACAGCCATGGCAGCAAAAGTTCGAACATTTGAAGGTAAACGATGAAGCCTCCGCAGCCGGCTGCAGCAGCGGCTATGCCAGCGACGATTCTACCTATGACAGCGACGATTCTATGGGTAGCGATTATGACGAGGACAAAGCCCAAGCCTGGTGGGAAGCCTTCAACCGTAAAAGAAGCGAGAAATCGAAGCAGGTTGCCCAGAATTTCCTCCCACAAGTCGAAAAGAATCAGGTACGCTGCTCGGTTTAATCAATCGATCTGCTAGAGTCTGGAATATTTAGGATACTCAAAATACGAGATTAAAAAAAAAAAAAGGTCATTGGCGTGGATAATACGATCCTTGTTCGTTCTGGTCGATTGTGCTTTCTGTTTTTCTATTTGATTTGATGTGAAGTATCGAAAAAATAGTGTCGCTTGAAGGTGTTTGGTTATTGATGAGTGCAGATTGCGGAGTTCCCTTGGCCACCCGAACCTACTGACTGCGGACCATACAAATATATCAAAAAGTACCTGAAAGGTGTCAAATTTCAAGAGGATGAACTTGAGTTGGCAATGAAATTTCTAGAACAAGTCAAGAGCAGCTGGGTAGGTTAATTTGATTTCCCCTCAGATTATCATATTGGTATATAGTTCAGCACTTTGATAATGATTTTCTGATTGAGTAACTATAACTGGGGCTCCTTTGGGCATCAGTGACAATTTTCTGGGATAATTATTCAGTTGGATTAGGTCAATCATTTTTACATTTTTTTCTTCCTTTATTGTTATTGTTCAATCTAATACTGTGATAGAATTTCAATTGTGATTATTGTTGGCTCTAATAAATTGGAATGTTTTGTGTTGAAATACCCTGGTAGGGTTATGATGTCGACTGTGTTCCTCCTCGTTGGGTGCCCACTTCTGATTTCCAACCAATGGACATTGACGAGATTAAGTTGGACAGTCCGCAGATGTTCAAAATTCTGAACTCTACAGCAAATTCTGTGATTAACGAAATCAATACTGTGGCTGAGGCCAAGGTAAGTATAGGTGTATCTTGTTGATTTGTTTGGATGCCCCTGTTCACTGTAGGGTGCATATCCAACTATTCGATTCAAATTCATGATAATATTCGATTTATCGTATTCGTTTCGTTATAGAATTTAATTTGTGATTCATATTTGATTCGATCGAAAGATAATTAAAGACGTTTGTGGATTTATTTATAAGTACATAAATATATTAAATACAGAAGTATATCTATAAGAGCATGTACAATGCTTTGAGTCTAATTTTGCTTACATGGCATTTAAATAGACTTAAGTCTTGGATGACATGGACAAAAATATAAAAAAGTAAAGAAATTAAAGAGACCAGGTCTTTACTTGGGTCTAAAATAGACTCTACCCCAAAATAGACTCAAGGGTAGACCAGGTATTATTTTCTTGTTGTCACATCAGTAGGACCCAATCCAATTACATTGGCATTGGAGTATATATTTTTCTAAACCGGGTCTATTTCCTATGTGGCCTGTATATTTTTTTGAAAGAACCAAAGCACTGTGGATCCTCTAAATATTTTATACTTTCTCTCTATATATATCATATATATATATAGATATCAAATTTTGTATAATTATATTAACAAACTGAATATTCGATAATTTCGAATAGAATTTGTGCATATTTGGATTCAGATTTGTACAAATTTTGTATACTAAAAACTATTCTTATTCGAATTGAAAGTTAGAAACTTTTATGAATACGAATCACGTATCAAATCTAGCAAGTTTGATTTGTTCACAAGCCTGGTGCATTGATCACTCTATTCTGAACTGTTTATAATTTTAAGATTTAGTGTTCAAAAGCTGCCTGTTAGAAAATGGGACATGGTCTTACAGTGATTCTTCAAACTTGTGCAGAAGATGAGCAAAAGATTTGAGCTTGTGAGGATCATTAAAGCTGTTTTTATTGGTGGCATCAGAGCTGCTTTTCTTCTGACTCTTACTATAAAGGATGTGGAGCTGGACATTGACAAAACTGTTCGAGCAATGGTGTCCCGACCACCTGTTGAGGAACCAAAACTTGTGGAGTGCAAGCTTATTTCATCCGGCATTGCTTGATTGATGCCATAGTTTGCTATAGTTTTTTTTTATGTACTTAGAATCTTAGGGAACACACCTTCGAGCTTGTTTGTGTATGTCTAATTCCCCAACTGTTTGGACAAGTTTTTTTTATGTACTTAGAATCTTAGGGAACACACCTTCGAGCTTGTTTGTGTATGTCTAATTCCCCAACTGTTTGGACAAGTGACACTGATCGACTAAATGATGAGTTTTGAACAGTGACCGTCGGGTGGGCTTTTATTTGATCGACGATGAGTTGAGCTGCATTTTATGGATTGCGATGAAATGACGGTTCGTTTTAATGGGGATTTCGTAAGCTTTCTAACGAATGTTTGTTTGCTCGATGATGTCGAATTGCAATGAAAATAGAGATTTAAAATGAATTATGGATGAAGACATGAGATGTATACAAGCGGCGCAGGTAAAATATGAAACTTTTTTCTATAGAAAAAGACGTGTGAAAATACTTTCACAGTATTATACGTACTAGTGATTATCCCATGTGATGCACGACAGGTTTATTTTTAAAACATTTGTTTTGTTTAAAATTTTATACAATATATTAGTTTACTAACCATTTATATTAATAAATAATATTTTAATATCTTATTTATTGTTTGACATATAAAATATAATAATTGTACTTACTTTCGTGCATCATAATATTCAACTATTATTTTCTTAAAAAATAGTAGTAATTAGGTAGTACTATCGATAAATTTTGTGGTAGAAGATATTAACTCAAAATATTGAATAGACATATAGATATATGTTAAAAATAAAATTTAGGTAGGTAGTACTTACTAAAAAAATATTTTTTCCAACAACCTTTTTATATCTACTAATATAAAAAGGTTGTTGAAAAAATACTTGTATAATAAGTTTGAGCATAAAAATAAAAGGTTGACTTACTAGTAGTGGTAATTGTGAATAAAAATATGTGAATCTTTAATAATCAAATTTATCATTTTCATATACAGTTTGACCGAATTTTCTTTCCAAATATTTAGGAAACAAATACAAATTGGTTGATTTTTTTAATTTTTTTTTAAATGAAGCCCAATAAAATCCCATTTTTTTAACCAATTTGAAGATTCTTATGAAAAAAATATATCAATAATTTATAAAACTCGGTCCAAGTACAAATTAATTTAAAATTCGTGCAAACATCTTCATATCATCTTTATTTTTTTTACTATAATATAAATCCCATTTTTTGGTAACAATAATTTGGGATTGATCAGATTTCCATTTTCAATTACTTAGAAAACAAAATTACTTTTCATTTATTTAACAAATATAAATGCCTAAGAATCCCAATTTTTTTATTTTTTTTATTTATTATTTTTTTTAAACAAAATTTGAGATTGGCCGATTTTGCTAGATTTTTTTAGTTAATTTAGGAAACAAATACAAATTGATTGGATTATATTAAATATGAAACCCATAGGAATCTCATTTTTTTTCTAAGATTTTCATTGTTCCGTGTTTCAGTAGTAACACTATTGTTCGACGGAGCTAAGGTCCAAAACTCATCATTGTGATCATTTATCAAAAAATGACTCTGGTTATCAAATGATTGAAGAACCGGGAGCAATTTACTTGTGATACTTAATTGACATTCAAAACAAGTCTCTATTGAATTATGAGTTCAATACATCCTCTTTAGCAGAAAGACGGGTATTCATTGCTCATTTTAAGACCATCACTGATTCACAAACTTGGTGTGGGACTAATCCTCACGTAACACCTTTACGCTCCGCCTCTTTTCCCCCTCTAGGGGGATTTTAGTGGTAGGCATTGCTCCTTTATTTTCTTTTCAATTCGTAGTATTGTATTTTCTTCGACCTTTTTATTTCCATTATAGGAATTCTTCTTTCTTAACTTATTTCTTAATTGAAGGGTTGATTTTGAGGATTTTTTTTTTCTGTAGAATTTTTTGATTTTGATTAATCTTTTAATTTAAAGATAAGAATAGCGTAGAAAGAAAAAAGATATTTGCTTATATATATAAATTTATATATATATATATATATATATATATTTCATATATATAATATATATTATAATATGATCAAAATAATAAGATCAAAAAGACGAAATGGACAGAAATTGTATTTCTCGACGAAAACACAGGGGGTGTGGAAAACAAGACAAGACGTTTCTACAATGACATGGGTTCTTTTGAGTAATATATCTGGAAATGCCCACCGGTACCTTCTTAACACTCTTTCGGATGCAACTAGTACATTCCAAAATCAACCCTTAGAACAGACTACAGCCTCAAATGGCGAAGAGCCGACATCAAGGTGCCAAACCTCCCCGTCGATGTGAGCTCTTGGGGAAGATCAGCATGTTATCCCTAGAGTAACTTTTATCCGTTGAGCAACGACCCTTCCACTCGACACCGTCTGATCACTAATGTCGACGTTTGTCCCTGTTCGACGGGTGGGTCTTGCAGTCAAACTGGTCTAATAATTTGACAATTTAATCAATTTTGGTCCCTTTTCATCCGCACTCTGAATAAGGGTGACATCATTAAAGTTATACAAAATTTACCAAACCACATATATTAGAATTTATTAAAAAAATTAAATACAACTCATAATTTCTTAAGAGTATGCTTGGATACAAAATTATCTCAAAAAAATCCAATCATTTTTAACTCAACCATTTTTTTAACTCAACTTTAACTCAGTCTCACTATCATCAATATTTTACTATAATTAAATAATATCAACAATCATTTATACACATCACATCAACCTTAATTCACTATTCATCCACTCATATAATTTAACTAACCATCACTTCAAATCATATCTCTCATACTTTTATATCAAATCAACATTAATTATTATATTTTAAATATTATTTTAATATACCCACTAACAACTAACCATCTAACCTTTTTCAAAATTAACCAAACCAAACCAAAAAATCCAAACAAATCCAAAAATTTTTATATCCAAGCATCCCCTAAATACCTATAGTCCACCAAAAACACCTATTTGAAAACACATTGATTAGATGTGATGGAATAATTAGGGATTTACATATTGCGAATCTAGAGCATCCACAATGCTTTGGGTCTCTTTTTGCATATGTGGCAAATAAATAGACTTAAGTCCATAATGACATGGACAAACCTAAACTAAAAAAACCAAAATCTATCCAATGCAAAACCAAAAAGTACTAGGTCTAGAATACATGACAACCAATAGAAATGCTCTAGTATATTTCATTTATTAAAAGAAAAATTAAATGAGGAATAAATGATGAGTGCTTGGGTTTGTACTTGGGTCTAAAATAGACCCAAGTGTGGACTAGGTNNNNTAGATTTTGGTTTTTTTAGTTTAGGTTTGTCCATGTCATTATGGACTTAAGTCTATTTATTTGCCACATATGCAAAAAGAGACCCAAAGCATTGTGGATGCTCTAAGTATTTGCGGGGATTTACCGGGCCGGTTCATAGGATTTTTTTTTTCTTTTTTTTTTGACATTTCTTATTGGCGTTGATTGGTGGTGATCAGTCCTACTCGAAAAAGAATGCCTTTGCAGTGAGCACCAGAAAGAAAGAAATTAATCAAACCTAAAGCAGGCCCAACGGACCTTCTTAAACTCATACGCCTCTCAATCACAATATACATACAGAGACAAGTTGGGATGCAGATCGATTCCCCACAGCCATGGCAGCAAGAGTTCGAACATTTGAAGATAAACGATCAAGAACCCACCGGCAGCGGCGGCTGCGACAGCGACGATTCTACCTATGACAGCGACGATTCTATGGGTAGCGATTGTGACGAGGCCGAAGCCGCCATCCGCTGGTGGGAAGCCTTCAACCGTAAAAGAAGCGAGAAATCGAAGCAGGTTGCCCAGGATTTCCTCCAACAAGTCGAAAAGAATCAGGTACTCTGCTTTGGTTAATCGATCGATCTGCTAGAGTCTGAAAATTTTAGGGTACTCAATAAAAACAAAGTCATTGGCGTGGATATTACTGACCCTTGTTCGTTCTGGTGGATTTTTCTCTCTGTTTTTCGATTTGATGTAAACTATCGAAAAAAATAGTGTCAGATTGAAGGTGTTTGGTTATTGATGAGTGCAGATTGCGGAGTTCCCTTGGCCACCGGACCCTAATGACTGCGGACCATACGAATATATCAGAAAGTACCTGAAAGATTTCAAATATCAAGAGGATAGACTTGAGTTAGCAAAGAAATTTCTTGATCAAGTCGAGAGCAGCTGGGTAGGTTAATTTGATTTCCCCTTAATTTATTGCATTGATATATATTTCAGCACTTCGATAATGATTTTCTGATTGAATAACTATAATTGGGGCTCCTTTAGGCATCAGTGACCATTTTCTGGGATAATTATTAGTTGGATTGAATACTGTGATAGTGTTTCAAGTGTAAATATTGTTGGCTCTAACAAATTGGAATGTTTTTGTGTTGAAATGCCCTGGTAGGGTTATGATGTCGACTGCTGTCCTCCTCATTGGGTGCCCACTACTCATTTCCGACCAATGGACGTTGACAAGATTATGTTGGAAAGTCCTCAATGTATCATGAGCAAAGTTCTGAACTCTACAGCAAATTCTGTAATTATCGAAATCAATACTGTGGCTGAGGCCAAGGTAAGTATAGGTGTATCTTGTTGATTTGTTTGGATGCCCCTGTTCACTGTAGGGTGCATACCCAACTATTCGATTCAAATTCATGATAATATTCGATTATCGTATTCGTTTCGTTATTGAATTTAATTTGTGATTCATATTTGATTCGATGAAAGATAAGATAATTAAAGACGTTTGTTGATATTTATTTATAAGTACATAAATATATTAAATACAGAAGTATATCTATAAGAGCATGTACAATGCTTTGAGTCTAATTTTGCTTACATGACATTTAAATAGACTTAAGTCTTGGATGACATGGACAAAAATATAAAAAATTACCTCCAATGTAAAGAGATCAGGTCTTTACTTGGGTCTAAAATAGACTCAAGGGTAGACCAGGTATTATTTTCTTGTTGCCACATCAGTAGGACCCAATCCAATTACATATGCAATGGAGTATATATTTTTCTAAACCGGGTCTATTTCCTATGTGGCCTGTATATTTTTTTGAAGAACCAAAGCATTGTGGATCCTCTAAATATTTTATACTCTAAATATTTTGTATAATTATATTAACAAACTGAATATTCGATAATTTCGAATAGAATTTGTGCATATTTGGATTCGGATTTGTACAAATTTTGTATACTAAAAACTATTCTTATTCGAATTGAAAGTTAGAAACTTTTATGAATACGAATCACGTATCAAATCTAGCAAGTTTGATTCGTTGACAAGCCTGGTGCATTGATCACTATATTCTGAACTGTTTATACTTTTAAGATTTAGTGTTCAAAAGCTGCCTGTTAGAAAATGGGACATGGTCTTACAGCGATTCTTCAAACTTGTGCAGAAGATGAGCAAAAGATTTGAGCTTGTGAGGATCATTAAAGCTGTTTTTATTGGTGGCATCAAAGCTGCTTTTCTTCTGACTCTTACTATAAAGGATGTGGAGCTGGACATTGAGAAAACTGTTCGAGCAATGGTGTCCCGACCACCTGTTGAGGAACCAAAACTTGTGGAGTGCAAGCTTATTTCATCCGGCCCTGCTTGATTGATGCCATAGTTAGCTGTAGTTTTTGTATGTACTTAGTATCTCCACAATTGCCTTAGGGAACTCACCTCCGAGCTTGTTGATAAATATGCTTCTAACATATCTTTGGAATATTTGCTTGTGTGAAAGACATGCATCAGTTGCGCGGCATAAACTTCTGATATTGGTTACATTTTAGTATTTTACTAGTGTAATTAATTCAGGTTACATGTGAAACTAAAGGAAGCATTATGAGAAATTTGCCATACATCAGGTGCTTGAATTTCACCGAAAATAGCACGAGACTAACGCATGCCACTGTCTAAAGAGCATTTTAGTCATTTTTCTACAATTAACTATTTGCAACTCCATTTTCTTCTCAAAACACTACAATGCGCTAAAGGTTGTTGTTCCCTGTCCCTTCAACGACCAGCATAACAGTTCAACCATTTTACCAAGACCTTGATCTCACGCAGGCATTAGCTTCTACACAAACCCTACTCGATGCCTGTAGCATCATCTTCGGAAATTAGAGTTCGTTGCGCAACAGACTCGCATGCTCTCTCATCTTCATCGACATTAGATTAGGATTCCTTTCCTCCTTTGATGTGCTCCACAACATTGACATATGTGGGGACGAATGGAACATAACTACCAATGACGTCGGTGAGAATTAATGCGCTCGCATTTGAAGGTTTGGTTGTCAGCGAGTGGACTTCGCTAGAACCTACTAATTGGCGGTCATACAAGGTTAGCAACCAGTACATGGAAGGATGTAAAAATCCAAGAGGAGGGATCTAAGATTGCAATGAGTCTTAGGACAAGTTACGAGGGTTGGTTAGGTTGATTTGGTTTCGACTTGGTATAATAGACCTATATATTTTTGAACATTTTAATGATGGTTTGTGTTCGTTCATTTAACAAACTTTACACAAAGTCCTTGAAAACACCACCAACGTCATTAAAATCATTAAAGTTATACAAAGTTTACCAAACCACCTACATTATATTTTGTTAAAAAAACTTTTTTTAAATACAACTCAATAGTTTCTTGAATACCCAAATTCCACCAAAAACACCTACTACCACCTATTTTTAATATATACCGTTTTAAGAAGTTAGCACATTAATTAAGAATATATATTTTTTCTGTCAATAATAACTTTATTTAATGAAGATAGAAATGAATGTTTAGAGAAAAAAGTGGAGAGTAAATATGAAAAGACGTAATGTATTTATTAACTAAATGAGGATAATAATGGAAAAATATGTACAAAAAATTCAAAACGACATTTATTTAGTTAATAGTTAATAAAACTGGGGAAATTCTATTATAGGGCCTCATTTTTAGATATTGTGTCATAATAGGGCCTATATTTTTAACATTTTCACTTGAGGGTTTCATTTTTAACTTATTCTCAATATAAGGCCTACTTTTACATTCTACTTTTCAATTTAAGTCTCTAAATTTCTTTTTATTTTAACAAAATTATGTAAAACATAATACTATTTTTAAAATCTATTTTTTAAGTACATATAATAAATAATATTAAATATCTTAGTGGAATTACCTAAAAATATAACTATTTCATAATTTACATTTATACAAAAGCTTAATGAAAGTTATTTTAAAAGTTAAAAAATAAATTTTAACTTAATTTAATCTAAATATGTGATAAAATTAAATAATAAACTATTTAGAAAAATATACTATGGTAATTTTACTAAAGACATTTATAATTATTTAAAATATAAATATTAAAATAATAGTATTTGGATTACATATTTATGTAAAAATATAAAATTAGTTGGAGTCTTAAATTGAGAATTAGAATGTAAAAGTAAGCCTTTGATGGAGAATAACTTAAAATTCAAGCCCTCAAATGAAAAAGTTAAAAATTGAGGCCCTATAATGACACAATACCTAAAAATGAGGCCCTATAATAGAATTTCCCCAATAAAACTAGAATAACATTAAAAAAAAAAAAATAGGAGGGAGTACTTTGAAAACACATTGATTGTCATTATTATAGATGTAATGGAATAATAATGAAGGGATTTAGCATATTGTGGATTGAAAAAGAATGCCTTTGCAGTGAGCACCAGAAAGAAAGAAATTAATCAAACCTAAAGCAGGCCCAACGGACCTTCTTAAACTCATACGCCTCTCAATCACAATATACATACAGAGACAAGTTGGGATGCAGATCGATTCCCCACAGCCATGGCAGCAAGAGTTCGAACATTTGAAGATAGACGATGCAGCCGCCGCCGCCGCCGGCGGCGGCAGCGGCTATGCCAGCGACGATTCTATGGATAGCGATTATGACGAGGCCGAAGCCGAAACCGAAACCATCAGCCCGTGGGAAGCCTTCAATCGTAAAAGAAGCGAGAAATCGAAGCAGGCTGCCCAGAATTTCCTCCAACAAGTCGAAAAGAATCAGGTACGCTTGTTCGTTCTGTTTAGGGCACTCAAAATACGAGATAAAAAAAAAAAAAAGGTCATTGGCGTGGATATTACTATCCTTGTTCGTTATGGTGGATTTTGCTCTCTGTTTTTCGATTTGATGTAAAGTATAAAAAACGGTTGAAGGTTTGGTTATTGGTGAGTGCAGATTGCGGAGTTCCCTTGGCCACCGGACCCTAACGACTGCGGACCATACGAATTTATCCGCCAGTACCTGAAAGATGTCGAATTTCAAGAAAATAGACCTGAGTTAGCAAAGAAATTTCTAGAACAAGTCAAGAGCAGCTGGGTAGGTTTGTTTGATTTCCCCTTCATTTATTATATTTATATGTTTCAGCACTTTGATAATGGTGATAATGATGATGATTTTCTGATTGAGTAACTGTAATTGGGGCTCCGTTAGGTATCAGTGACAATTTTCTGGGATAATTATTTAGTTGGATTGGATCAATCATTTTTACATATTTTTCTTGTTTGTATTGTTATTGTTCAATCTAATACTGTGATAGAATTTCAATTGTGATTATTGTTTGCTCTAACAAATTGGAATGTTTTGTGTTGAAATACCTTGGTAGGGTTATGATGTCGACTGCTGTCCTCCTCGTTGGGTTCCCACTTCTTATTTCCAACAAATAGACGTTGAAACGATGATGTCGAAATATCCGGATTATAATGAGTCTCTGAACTCTGCAGCAGATTCTGTAATTAGCGAAATCAATACTGTGGCTGAGGCCAAGGTAAGTATAGGTGTATCTTGTTGATTTGTTTGGATGCCCCTGTGCATTGTAGGGTGCATACTCAACTACTCGATTCAAATTCTTGAATTATTTGATTATTCGTATTCGTATTCTTATTCGAATTGAAAGTTAGAAACTTCTACGAACACATATCAAATCTAGCAAGTTTGATTCTTTTACAAGCTTGGTGCATTGATCACTCTATTCTGAACTGTTTATAATTTTAAGATTTGGTGTCCAAAAGCTGCTTGTTAGAAAATGCGACATGGTCTTACAGCGATTCTTCAAACTTGTGCAGAAGATGGGCAAAAGATTTGAGCTTGTGAGGATCATCAAAGCTGTTTTTCTTAGTGGTGGCATGAAATCTGCTCTTCTTCTGACTCTTACTATAAAGGATGTGGTGCTTGGCATTGAGAAAACTGTTCGAGCAATGGTGTCCACACCACCAGCTAAGGAACCAAAACTTGTGGAGTGCAAGCTTATTTCATAGGACCCTGCTTGATTGATGCCATAGTTTGCAATTTATTTTCTTCGTACTTTATATCAACTCAATTGCCTTTGTGTCGATCTAATTCCCGAACTAATGTTTGTGTATTTATTTCTTTCAATATTGTCTTGAAGAACTATGCTTTGTGTAACAATGGCCGAACCATTTGTTGATATATGCATCAACTAATTCATATTGCTACTGTTATGGTCCCCATATTTTACTTGTCAAACTGATGGAATCATTATCACAATTTTGGTACGTATGAAATGTTTGAATTTCACCGAAAATAGTATGAGACTTTACTCATGCCACCTTCTAAAGAGCATTTTAATAATTTTCCTACCATTAATGATTTGCAGCTCCCTTTTCTTCTCGAAACCACCATTACTAAGCTTAAAACACCACAATGTGCTATAGGCTCTCTGTATGCACACTCTTCATTCAGACAAGAATTAGAAATGAATAAGCCCAAAGGAAAGGTGGATCATATATTCATTTCCTTTACCTTCAATAACACTTCTCATTCAGACAAGAATAAGAAATGAATAAGCCCAAAGCACAGTTGGATCATATATTCATTTCCTTTAACTCTTCAACAACAGCATAACTATGCTGTTTTAACCATTTTTTTTTTAAGATCTTGATCTCTAGCAAACAATAGCTTCTACACAAACGCTACCCGTGGCATTATTTTCTTCACCTGCATTGGGATCGTTAGTTATGTAGTAAACCCGGATGCTCCCATCTTCATCTGACATAAGATTAGGATTCCATTCCCCAAAGATGTGCTCCACAACAACATTGGCAAGAGGTTTAGGCAACTTAAGAGGGGTTGGTTAGGTTGGTTAGGTTGATTTGGTTTCGACTTCATATACTAGGCCTATAAATTTCAAGCCTATAAAATTTCAACATTTTGATGATGTTTTGTATTTGTTCTATTAGCAAACGTTACACAAAGTCACCAAGACCACCTACTTTAATAACCTCTCAATATTATTTTATTTAAATGATAAATAGTTGGTCATTCTACCGTCAGGTACGCCTAGTACCTGTTTAACAACAAGTATCCTTTTACTTGATGACATGTGTCCTTTTGCATACTTAATTAAAAAAAATAGTAGTAGAAAATATTGTATTAATATTAAAATAACCTTACTTAAAAATTTAAGAAAATACATCACCCAAAACCAAAAGAACCCGAAGCTGAAGAAGAAGAAAGCTAAGTGTGTGTTTGGTTCAATGGAGGGGAGGGATTTTAATGGAGGGAAAGGGAGGGGATGAGAGGTGATGTAAAATATTTTATTTTGTTTGAATGAATCTATATATCTATATAAATATAAAAAGGTTTGTCATTTACCTAAAAAAGTAACTATTTTCCCGCCTAAACAATTCAAATTTACTAATCTTGGTAAATTTTTTACATTTTTTGAAAAATCCCGCCTTTACATCATTAAATTCGAATTTTAAATTTTTTTTGATGTAAATGTAGAAGTTTTTGGAATGCTTCACTTACATGATTTTTTTCCATCTAAAAACATAATTTACATATATTAGAATATTAACAAAGAATGCCTTTCCGTTTCTTAATTTTATGTAAGGTGCACTTAATATAATAGAATATAAACAAAAATTAATTTTTCATTTTATTTTTTTTGAAATACGATAAGCTTAGTTTTTTTTCCGTTTATAAAGATTTAGTGTCTTTTCGTTTCTTAATTTACATGATTTTTTTTACATAATAGAATATAATGTAAGTTTCCATCTGAAAACATGTTTTATAAAATTTTAAAATTTATGTAACATTTTCAATAAATTAATGAAAAATGCTACATGTACATAATAAATATACATAAAGATGTACACAACACTCACATGGAGTGGGGTCCACTTGATTTTTAAATTTAGTGGGTCCCACTCAATGTGAGTGTTATGTACAACATTATGTACCTATAACATTACTCTAAATTAGTATAGTTACATATTGATTACATATTTTTAATTTATAAATATTATTTAATGAGTAATCTATATCTATGTAAAAAGTTTGGTATTTACCTGAAATATTAATTAAAATCCCGCAAAAAAATTAAATTTACCTTTATTAGTAACTTTTTAAATATTGTTGAAAAATGACGGCAAATCATTTGAAATTAAAATTAAAAAATCAATGTAAGGAATATACAAAATCATTTTAGTCAAATATTGCGGGTATTTACCTTTATTAGTTGAGTATCTAATTTTATAGAAACAATTAAACTGACATAACTTTGTATGATCAAAACCAATAACCTGAATCTAAGTACACTTTCAATTTTAAACAGTACGAATTAACATAAAACTATGGTAATTTAATAAAAGTGCAGCAGTCCTATAAGATTGTCGAAATTCGGTACAGGCTTCGATAAAAATCGTGAGTGTAACTTACAGTAAATAACAAAGAGATAGGGACAAGTATCATTGGAAATGTCACTAATAAAATTGAAAAATAAAAATTATATAAAAGTTATTATTATATACTTTTAATAAAAATTATTACCTATAACAAAAATAAAAAGTATATTGTGCATATATTGTGTATTAATAAAATATATTAAAAAAATATTAAAAAAGTAAAAGGAAAAAAAATGTTTCTAGAATTTGACAAGTCTCTCACTCTATAGTATGCAATCAATTTATTTAAGTCATACATATCCTAAATCATAACATATATTGATATTATATAGCCCAGAACAAGCCATATGAAATCTTTATATATATGTTATATGATAAACACCAACTATTTTTTTTATTGCACATATGTATTCACATGTTATATGATCCATCTAACTTTAATTATTAACTAGTATGTAACCCGTGCGATGCACGGGCTAGTACATGTTTTGGAAAATTTTAAAAAAATTAAAAGGTCATTAATTAATAAGTTATTATAATACTATGACATTCATAAAGTAAACATAAAATCGTCATTAGTAAAAGGTTATACATTATTAAAAACCTCCTTATATACAACGTTATTAGTTTGATTACTGGGTAACTCATCGTCCCCACAAACTAATATTTTCAACCCCTTCCTATTAGTAACACGTGAAACAGCGACGTATAACTGGTCATGACTAAAAATAAGTTTTTTCAAGAACATTCCAACATGTGATAAAGACTGACCCTGACTCTTGTTTATGGTCATGACATAGGAAACCATAAGGGAAATTGCCTCCGTTGGAACTTAAACGGAACTCTAACATCAGAAGAAGTTATGTTCATCCGAGGAATCAACACCTTCTCACCTGCGTGATCTCCAGTCAATATCCTACATTCAAGAACATGCGGAGAGAGCTTCGTAACAACCAAACATGTGCCATTACACAGACCCATAGAATGGTCCATGTTTCGCAACAACATGATCGAAGTTCCTATCTTCAAATGCAACTCATGGTTCGGCGTTCCTGAACACTTAATGCTATTCAAGAACTCGGGTGTGTGGAGATCAACCAAAAAGCCATTGCCGGAATCCGACTTAGACGTACTGTCAGAGCTCAAATATGTACGACCTTCAGCAGAATTCATATCCGACATGTATTGATTGATAGACTCAACGACCTCCAAAGTAGGCGCTAATATAGCTCTGTCCTTTAAATAACTTGGATCGTCAGTTGCATTTTTGAACATATAAATCATTAATCGAAATGAATGAGAGACGTCATCTCACAATAACAAATATAATAACACTAAAATTCATAATTCAACGACATGGAATGACAATAAAACATAATAAAATTAATAAAACAATAAATATATTACAAATAATAACCTTAAAGGACATGGAATAACAATGAAATTCATAATGTAAATTGGAATTCTTATCAAACCCTAAAATATCATAAATATCTTACGTTCCTTACTAATGTTGAGGAAAAATCCCACCATATTTGATAACACCGAGTTCTTTTGTGAAACACAGGTTTCCATATGTTGGTTATGATATCTTTCTTCCCATGATTAAATTCAACGACATAGTTGCTGATTGCATACACCTCGCCTTCGTTCAGTACACCTCGAAATTCTCCCATATTTGTAGAACGTATTATGCCTTTAATAAATGCACCCTACAAAATAAATTTATAAATATTAATTAAAATATTTTTTCACAAAAAAAATAAATTATTCGGAATACTAATAAAAATAAATTTATAAAATAAATTTATAAATTTGATATTACTAATAAAAATATTTACCTCTTCATCATGAAACAGTATATGGAATGCGTTCCAGCTCTCTCGTTCGTGATGCGTTTCAAATATTCAGACTGCTTTCAATCACAAATAAGGTTTGTTTGTCCTACTCACGGAATTGAGTGTATCCCAGACCGGCGGCATGATATTATTGTTGTATTCTAAAATCTATCTGTATAATTTTTTTTTCTCTGAACGTTGTGAATGACGTGAAGAAATAATTGTGGTAGTGAATATCCTTTTATATACGTTGGTACCGAAAAAAGTGATCCTGCCGTTGA